GATAAGGCTCCTTTCCCCTTGGAAATAACGGGCAGCTGATCTCCTGGCAGCTGTCAGGTCTCCCGCCTGAGTCACGGGCTGACAATCTTGTTGCCGACAGTGCCATGGGCTTGGCTTCCGCCCGCCGAGCTGGACTTCCTCATTCACTTCGCTCTGCCTCCGTCAAGGGAGGAAGGGAGTGACGGGGCAAGACGAAGCTTGCAAGAGAAATCTCGTGCCCCATCCTGTTATCAAAACCGGCCAGGTTCTCTCGCTCTGTCTCTCCCTTTCTCTTCTCAGACGGGTTTCCCTCTTATTAAACGTGGTCGGCTATCCCTGCTGTTGTTTAATCAGGGTTTCATCCCAGCTGGCCGGAGGGGTGCACATATAATCCAGAGCAGTCCTAGAGTTTGTAGTGTGTAATGGGAATGGGCAACTGGTTCCACCCCATCAAGTAGGGAGGAAGTGCGACAGAGAACTGTAGTGTTCTGGATATATTGTTGCTACTATTTTTTGCATGCTTTGAAAAAAGGTTGTAAAGGTGTCAAGACATGTTACTGGTGAAATAGTTTCATTTGGCCATTGTTCTTGTTGCACTGCAATAGGCAATGTGTATTGGGTAAGACAGTGCATTAAAAAGTTGATTTGTTCCTGCACTTGGTTCTTGATGGTTGTTGTCTTAAAGTTCATTAGTTACACTGACAGTTTTAGAAGCGATGGACATGTTAGTCTGAGCTAACGTATCAGACAAAAACAAAATGAAAATGAAAATAAGACAAAAGTATTGTGGTGCCTTAAAGACTAACTGCTATATTTTAATGTGAGCTTTTGTGGACAAGTCCACTTCGTCAAACAGATAGTGGCCAGTTGTCTGAGCAAGTGGACTTGTCCATGAAAGCTAACATGAAAATATAGCAGTCTTTAAGGCATCACAATGTTCTTGCCTCTTTTTTAAATTTTCCTTTTCATTTTGCCTGATGTGAATAGCTAGAAAAACCTATGAGATTGCCTCTGGATTTTCATAAGAGCCTAGGGGACCTGTGCTTGCCTGTTGGACCTCTATTTTCTATAAAGGACAACTTCTTGCTCTTTATAAGACTTAACTGATGCATTGAAGAAGGTGCCAGTGCTCACCAGCAGCGTTTTCCAGCTGATATGGTCATGGTCTTTTGTCCTGCTGTTTGCCCTGCCTTTACTTCCTCTTTGTGCAGAGACTTTCACCACTGCCACCTGCAGTACTCCTAGGGAGTGAATTTTGTTTTAAAACAAGTGGCTCAGAGGTATGTGTAGGAGCTTGTTGGTGACTGCTTAATTCCCGTAGATTGAGAATTAAGCTCAGTACTGTAATGTTCAAGTTTGTCTTGCCAGGACACCTGAGCAATATCACATTCTAATTGCATTCAGGATATTCGTCCTGCATCAGATGTTTTGTGTAGTGCTGGTAAATAAAACACAAGTGTGATCTGTATCTGTAAAATGTGACATGTTAATTGGTTATAAGTGGGCCTTGAAAATAAGTATGTGTGTGTGTATATACTTACATTTGTTTCTCAGGATGATTTTGTTTTATAGAGCCTCATTGATTAATGGTTCTAGTTCTATTCTAGCATTCTTGCTAAAGCTGCTCCCTTAACTATGTAGATAAAAGTGTACTGTGATTAAAAAGACTGAAGCATCTGCCTTTCTGTAGAAGAGGCTGGTTTGTGAGGCTTGGTTCTTGGATTAACCTACTTCTGCATCTCTTCTTTTTTTCAAATGCAGTTGCTCCCCTTAAGCATAGGTGTGACACAAAGTAACAACTGTGTAATCAGTTACTGCTCCTACAAAGATATGTTCTGACTTAGTCACCAAGTGAAAAAAATGGTTGTAGTTCTTATCTTTGCCACTCCAGTGAAAACTGCAAACCTTTGCACAGACTAATACTGTCTGACTCATGCATTTGCTCTTGCTGTTTGTAGCTATGGTGCTATACTTATTATGTTCAACCAGAATGAAAAGTTTTACTTGCTGACTTGTTGGTTGAATGACTTGGGAGATCAATGTAATTAGCCTATCATTTGAGCTGTCTCATGGCTGATTATTATTGTTTTCTGTGTTAGAGAATCACACAGGCTGGTGTTTTGAATTACATGTACTGCTTCCTGACTATTACCCTTCCTTACTCAAGATAACATTACAGAAATACAAGTTTCTTATATTCTCCTTAGTCCACCTTTAAGCTCATGAGAGATAATTCAAAACCTATGTTGGTAATGACTCATATCTCTGGTAATGCTCTGTCACTTTGAGATTAGCAAAGCCATTTTCTGTCTAATGAAAGCTAGCTATTAAAGATGACCAGGCATGTGTTAATACTTCACTACGGGCTCATATTGCTGTTGGCATCTTGATTCAGCCAATTTTTCTGGAGCTGGCATATACTGAAGTACTGTATTTGGAAGGCCAGTTCAATATGCATAAATTTACTATGCATATGACTAAAATAGTTCTGTGAATTGGCTTTCTACAAACTTTTGTTTTCCAGAGGAGCATAGTTAGGTTATTTAGCCACATCAATTTATTATTTGAAATAAAAGGTAAAACTGTCATTATCGTGTTACATTTGTCAAAACTATATAGCATGAGACCTTGCCTACATTAAAGAATGTGTGAAGGGGAGAAACTGAGAGTTAATGAGACCTTATTCCTAGGCTTTGAAAAGAGGACTGTATGTAATCTGCCATACTAACTGCTGATAGCCATTGAGCACTTGTGATTTAAAATCCCTGTGTTTCATGGGTTTGTGTTAGTCATGACATGAGTTACTGAATTAATTTTGGCATAGATGTGAAGGAAGAGAATGAAGTTAAATTGTAAAGCAGAAATGAAAAATTAACATTGGCATATTCTTTAATGTTGGGAAATTACATATTTTTCTCCTTTGTGTGTAAATCTATTTCTTTTTACTTATCTGACTTGTTTGACACTCATTTTGATATTAAATAAGATTCCTTTAAAGGTCATAGAATTCCTCAATTAAGAACAGGAGTGGATCTCAGGTATTTTGTGCCACTGCTGTTGCATGTTGAGATGTTAATACTAGTAAGAATGTAATTTGATGAAGTATGTGGTTTCACAAAAGAACCTTAAACTGTGAAATCTGGTAGTACTGAACTATGATTAAGCCACACACACACACACCTACAGTGAATGAGTGAAAAGTGTTTCTGAGCATGTGCTGATGAGGTGGGGAAGTAAAAATCCTTCTGAAAGCTGTCCTTGCCTTACAAGGTACTCTACTGGAAATCTCCTAACCTGGCAGGGGGTACCTTGTTTTGGAGAGGGAGATTAAAATTCTCTAGTTCTTCTCATGACTAATTAGTGCCCCAGTCATCATGTATCTGCTCACCCTTGAAAGGCTTCAGTAATCTTTGTAGCTTGAAAAGCATCTTTTACTGGAAACTGCCTCTGAATGGGAGTGGCTTGGCCTCCGGTTATTGTGAGGCAGTGCTTGCACTACTCACCCTGAGCTGCGTGTGTCTAATTTGCTTTGAGCACTTGGAGGCTGACAGTGTTGGGGTAGCCAGAAGCAGGCGGGCATTGAAGATAATGCAAATATTTCTCTTTGGAGTGTTTGTTTTCCTGTAGCAGCTGCCAGGATGCCCTCCTTGTGGGAAATGCACTGTTAGTAAGCCGGGCCATGTTTCAGCATAATTCTGGTCTAATCAGGTCTGGAGTTTCATGCCCTGGTGTAGCCTGCTGTGAACATAGCATAACTCAAATGTGTGTAAAACATTTGATCATGTATTGAGGTTAAGTTTTAATACCTACACGGTATGAATGGAAAGTTGAATCTCTCCTGTTGTGTGCAAGGCTGCATTTATTGCTTCTTGGCTTTTCTTAAGGAGTTTGAAAACTCCCAGGGAGACCCTGAAGGGTATAGACATTGCACTAGTGTCTGGTTGTATGGTATCAGGAAAACATAATGGCCCAAATTCTCCTAACCTAGTTACACCGGTGCAGCACAAACGGCGTAACTTTTAGAGGCATAGTATCCTAAGCACCCTTGGCATTATCAGTTGCATAATGAGTTGAATGACTCAGCATGCAACTGATAACATCTACAGTGATTTCTTAACTTGAGACAGTTTGCTTCCAAAAGTTACGACACTTGCCTACCTACGGGAGAGGATTTTAGCTGATGACTAGTATATTACTTGTAGAATGCACAGTTGCATGGACCAGTTCCTGAAAAGGAATTTTTTCCCCATGACGGAGCAATTTGAATGATGTGGTAACTCCTTACATAGTTTTGGCACTTGGATTAAAGGTAATTTAAATTTCCAATACTGAGATAACCTGTAAATTGTAAATAAAAATACACGTAAATTGTAAT